TGCTGCTAGGAAACATCGAGCTGAAAATAGAATATTTAGTTTTGTACTTTGTCTGTCTGGCGTGGTCTCTTGAACTGGCCAGATAATACTACCGGTTAGAGGTCCGTTTTATGGTTAAGGCCTGTCTCAAGAAGAGTATAAAAATCAAGAGATCAGAGTATTTGTGTTCTGTGTTGAGTATATGTAGGCTTTCAGGTATGTCATCAGAGAGCTCATCACAGGAAGACCCAGGTGCAATATGAAGGTATTTGGAAGAGGTGCTAACAGCCAGATAGCCATCTCTGGTGACAAAGAAAAAGGAATGTTTATCACAGGATCTAGACAGCATTTTCAGCTGCTGCTTGTCCCATCAGGGCTACTTGTAGTCATCTGCTACACTGTTAGTAGAGGAGAACTCTTGACAGTTTGTAAAAGTCTTGTATTTTGTTACTAATGCCCTGCAGATTGTGGGGAGAAGGACATGATTATGTACACGGAGGCCCATACTTGCTACATATTCATTCACATAAAATATGAGATTTTTAATAGCATTTTTAAAATAAATGTAGGTGTGCTAAAACCTTTAATTTTGGGGGTAATTCAGAACTTACAGGTAATAAGAATTAAGACATTAAAAATACTGTGGGAGGTTAGGATGCAGAGGAATAGCTCAAGTCCACCTTTGTCTTCCTTGTATAACCTCGAAGGTGTGTTTCTTTAGGTGCCATGGATGTAGCATTAGGGTCTGCTGCAACTGGAGTGTTCACAAATTCATCTTGGCTTTGGACTCACCTTTATGAGGTAGGCCATCTGCATTACTATTGAATGATGATAATTCAGGAACACCGGTTATTATTGTAAAGTTAGGGCATTACTGAAAGCTTTATTTTATGCAAGTCCGAAAGGTATGCTATTAAATTTTCAAGTTGTGTAGGAATGTTCTTAGCTTCTGCATTTCTCAATTAAATGCAGCGCTATGACTGTTAATTACTGGTTCTTTATTTTGGTTTAGTATCATACAGCAGAAAGCATGCATCATTGTCTCAAGGATATGCATCCTGTGATGACATACTTTGTATGCATGTAAACTCTATTTTACTGACAGTAATTAGTTTTTGTTAGAAAGATAATTAGCCTTCCTTAACAATACCAAATGTGAAATTCAAAGAAGCCTTATGAATGGCTGAAGTGTGACTGCTAAAAGGAAGTCTCTGAAGGGAGAGATATGTGCAAATTTGCATTAGCAGGATAAAATAGTATTGCAAAAAATTAGCATTCTTTAGTGGTAGTCCAAAGGCAAAACCTAAAGAATCCGAAAAGTAAGACTGAGTGTTTTGTCTTGCAGTATATATTTCTAAATACCTCGTACTGGGCTCCAGATTTTTAGACAGACTGATCAAAGCTAAACAGAAATAAGCATGCACTATGATGGTGCTTGTAAGTGCAATTAAAAATAAAAAACACAGTGAATTTTGCTGAAACTGTGACTCTTTCTTTTTCAGGCCAGCATTTCGACAGGAGACAGAGTTTGGAGAATGCCCCTTTTTGAACATTACACGAAACAAGTAACAGACTGTCCCCTTGCAGATCTCAGCAACATTGGGAAGTACAGCAGGTAACCTGTCAAGATCTTGCATGTAGCCTTTTCTGTTCGTGCATTATCCCAGTGTCTGTGCTGTTGGTATTGCCTTAGAAACAACGCAGTTTTTACTTCCTTCCCCACAGAGCTGGAGGAGCCTGCACAGCTGCTGCATTCCTGAAAGAATTTGTGACTGCCTCTCACTGGGCTCATTTAGATATAGCTGGTGTGATGTCAAATAAAGATGAAGTGCCTTATCTTCGAAAAGGCATGGCAGGACGGCCTACGAGAACATTAGTAGAGTTTGCAGCTCGATTAAGTCAAGACAGTCAAAATGCCAAATAAAATACTAATTCTGAAATCTTCCATTCTGCCTTAAAAAAAAAAAAAAACAAACCTTTTGATGTATTATTGATGAGTGAATGCCCAAGCGTATTTTCACTATAGCAATGAACTGCAAATACCTCTTATAAACCATTACTGGGTTAGAGCATCTCACACTTGAGTTTTCTCTTTCCATGTTAGGCAGTTTAAAATCAAGTATTTTATGTGAACTATTTGAGATATCTGATACCAAAAGCTGATCACTGAAAACATCTGAACTCCTAATTTATACATAAAGTAAGCATAATTATTGTAAAAATAAATAAATAAATTTTTGTGTGCATGAGCTTGTTTGAAAGGGGTTTTTTTTGACTTGAAGAATTAACAGTAGATGGATAGCAGAACTGTGCTGATTTGGGGTGAATCATTGGGGGGGGGGTCGGAGTACAGCACGGGAGGAGCTAAAAGGGCCCCTGGTGTGCGCTGAGGGAGGAAGGAGGCACGGTGCTGGGAGTCGAGAGGCGGCAAAGGCTGCGGCGGGCCTGGCGGCGGTCTCGGGGCGTCTTAAACGCGTGCTGAACGCCCTCTTTCACAAGAACACACGCAAACCCGGGGGGGGGGGGCGCCCGGGCCCCGC